GTTGTCACGTTGTGAGCGTCTTATATATATACCAGACAAACATATATCTAGTAAATGCTAGGGCATTCACGAAGGAACAAGATAGTTCTAGAAACGTGGCGTGACACTAGTCACGTTACCTCGCTGACGCATCAATACTATAACAAAACAAAAAAATAGAAACGGATTGCGTAGTCATTTACCACATGATTTCCGTATAAACTAACTGAAGAGGTTATTGAAATTTTTAACAAAATATGTTTTACTTTGTAATACAAAAATATTATGTATTCTAATTACATTCCAAATATATCTGATCAGAAGTTTTAATAATGAATCTGTTTTCGGCTGCGTTTTACGTAATCTAACGATTTTTTAGTAACAATTTGTTTATTTGTTTTGAATTTCGCGCAAAGATACTCCAGGGCTATCTACGCTAGCCGTCCGTAATGTAGGAGTGATAGATTAGAAGGAAGGCACCTAGTCAACACCGCCCACCGCCAACTCTTAGGCTACTCTTTTACCATCGAATAGTGGGATTAACCGTTACATTACACGCCTCCACGGCTGAAAAGGCAAGTATATTCGGTGACGGAGATTCGAAATCGCGACAAGCAGATTGTATATCGAGCGACCTAACAAACAGGCCAGGGCCTTTTTATATCAATATCATTATTATTAACCAATTTTTGTTTTCGTTTGGAGTATATTATTTTATAAAAGGCTTGATACCATGTTTTGAATACCATGTTTGCATTTTTGACTTTAATACAAAAGTGTAACTCTATACACATCTGTGTGTATATACATATATGTATATATATATTTCAATTTGTAATCTTTGTCATAGATGTCGGCAGCGAAATATGTGTGTGTGGACTAAAATTTGAAGTTAATAGGTCTGCCTGAGGTGCGCCTACTTTAGGCAAGCGGAGTCAAGGCATTTTCAAGAACATATGTTTCCTGGAGAATTTTTAAAATTTGAATGAAGTTTGGGCCTATTTTGACGTGGTAGGATAAATCAGGGAAAAAGAACAGAAGCGAAATTAATATGAAAACAAGCAGTTTAATGACCAACTTACATTATATCTTATTCTATATTTGTTTACTCTTTATCTTCAGCTACCCAATTAATTTTTTACCATTTATCTGTTTATAGTATTGTATAATTTTGGAATAAAACTCAATAAATCTCGGAAAAATTATAAATCTTAAAAAATTTATGTAGAGTTCAAATAGTGTTTCTCTGTCGATCCTGTTCAGACGCTTATGTTTGTAAATATAATCAAGCAAAAATACATTTCTCACTACTTTAATACGAAAAGTGAATAGATTATTTTTGTATGACATAGAAGTTGTAAATTTCAATGAACAAAACTGAAACCTTACATTATTTCATTAGTACCTTAATCCTGTGTAAATTTATTATACTTTATCAAAACTGACAATCATAATATTTGAATATATTAAGAGGGCGTTCATGTAATGGCATAAGCAAAGCAAATAGGTGGATGGAAACATCCAACAAGGTTACAATGAGTAGTTATCGAAAACATATTTTGGCACAGTTACAAGAAAGAAAGAAAGAAGAGTCTGCTGCTTTTCAGGATCTTATATCGTTTTGTAAGTAGCATTTAGTTGTAAGCATTACTATTTCTCATTTTGCGTTAAAATTGGAGTACAGCCTTTGGTTTATTTGTGTCGTGACTTCAGACTTGCTTTCAGTGTTCACGTGAATTGTCCCCCCCCCCCAATAGTTCAGCTGTAAATGAGGGTTTATAATGCTAAAATTGCCTTTTTTATTTTTTACTCGCGGCGGGCACAGCACAGATAGCCCATTTTATAGTCTTTTGCTAAATAACAACAAACACGTGAATCATATTTATAAATTATATTGCAGTTCTCAGTGAGTTGTCTGGATAATAATTAATATGAGAATAACTATCCACCAATAGGACTATTAGCCTGATTAGATATTACTTTTTAAATTTTAGATGTGAGTACATAAATATATATTTTTTCAAGCTAATGAACTTCTTGAAATATAATGTTTGGATGATTTTTTTACTGACTGTTTCAGAATGTTTGATGTGCTGTCCTGTGTTGATGACAAATTACATAGGAACTTAGAAATAATGTTCTTAATTTTTCATATTTAAACATATAATTTTTTTTATCTTTTTAGATTCATTATATGATATACCCTTAATTAGAAAATGTTTATTTCACCAATCCAGACTAATTACTATAACATAGTGAAATACCACACTTATTTCCAGATATAAACTTAGCTGTTTCTTCTAGATATAATATTTATAAATTTCAAACTATTTCACTGAAATATCTCA